CTGAATATATATATTCCGCCCGAGTATTGTGTCTTCTTTCGTCTTCAGGGAGTCTCGGGACGCTACACCAAGAACCATGCTGGAATGTGGAAGTGTAATCTAGATAGACTGAATTGCTAAGTTATTTAAAGACATGTTTGGCCTTGGCATCAATTCACCCAAATGATACAAACCTAGAAACCAACAAAACAGAAAGTAAACGAGAAAAGCATGTTAACGAAATTAAATTCGTATGCTTTGCAACTACTCAGGCTTCGAAAAAGGCATGATATACAAAATTGGCACTGTAGTGCACATGTTATCGGAAGACTATTTGTGTGGCTCTTGGCAGCTTTTCAGCCCTTCTGCTTGTAAGCAGCATATTTCTCGCCATGACACTTCGTCTTTTCATGGCAATAGGGAAGGCTTAGGTAGCCAAGACAGGTCTTTCTATCATACTTCAGTGGAAGCAAGACTCATCGGTCGCCGCTTCCCTATTCCTAACATTCTTAGACAAGCCCGGTTGATTCGCTTTTGACATCTTTATTAAAGGTGACAAGATGGGGAGGGAAAACACAATGTTCAAGAATGAGGGGAGCTGTAGTCGCTAGGTACGGGGGAGGACAATCCGACCACGATACTCCAATTTTCTGCTTGCCTTCTCCCTGAAAGGCACATTCAAACAACATATTACATTAGCCTATCACTGATTTACGGGATAGTGTTGTTTATTTATGCAAAATCGGCGGTGTAGAATAGACAATTTCAGTTTTCACAAAAACCTTGCTAGGTTTAAAATACGCATCACTATTTTTCGGCCATGTAAGTGAAAACCAATCATAAAAAGTCTTCTAAGCTGAAATAAAGTCAGACATTATTGAGTTTATAATAAATGCATTGTACGTTATGTCAACTTCGGTTGGAGTGTAGACTCCAACATGAGGTTCCCAAATTCAAGGGTATTTTGTGAATTTCTGTAAGAAAGCAAGTGATAGAAATTTCGATTTCTTTTTCTTTAAAGTGCATTTTAGCTAAATTGCTGTGTCCTGTGCAGTTTCTAGTGGTTGCTTTTGCAATTTCTTGTTTGTTCGGGTACACGCTGAATCCTTGACCAGTCGTATTGTCATCATCTCATTGGCCTGCACTTTTCGCGCGACGTTTGATTCTAGTGAGTGGTTTTGGTGTGTTGCGGCTGGTGTCTTCATCTTCCACGTGCACACTATAAAGCTGAATGGTGTTTGCACACTTCAAGCCCCCTTTTTTGAACCCTTGTTTTTGTTTTATGATAATATATTCGGTTGCTCTTTCTATTTGATAATCTTACTCTTATGTGGCAACAGAGTTTCACCTTTCTGTTTTTCTCTTTAGTAAAGCTCTGGAATAGGCCAAATACCTTTACCTGCATTGCTTTCTTAAATTTTATAGGCTGTGTCTGAACTAGTCTGGGCTTTTGATTTCAATTTCTACACTTTGTTGAACCACACAGGCTCTATTACTGGGCTAAATTGAAATTTTCACCTTGATTCTCCTCTAACTTCCGCGTTTTTTCTAGTTGTTCAACGTTATTAGATGCCCTCATTTCTTTTTTTATGCTTTTTGTGTAGTTGACCGTTTCCAGTGACTGTCTAAAATGAAGGCATTGATTCTCGTTGGTGGTTATGGAACACGTTTACGTCCACTCACTCTCAGCTTCCCCAAACCTATCGTAGAATTCTGTAATAAACCTCTTCTTTTGCATCAAATAGAAGCTTTGGTTAAGGTTGGTCATGCTTGTATGGTACCTTGACTTGCAAACTGTTTTATCTATGCTCTGCATTGAATTGTCTTCTACTTGTTTGTTTATGCCTACTTTAAATTAGGTCGTGCTAATTTTATTGCCATCCACCCCGCTGTGTACAAGTTTATTTGCAAGTCTTAGAGTATTATTGACATCCAGCCTAGAAATGGTCCCCATTCATATTTCTAGGCTGGTGTTCAGGAGATAATACTTGCGGTTAGCAAGTGTGCAGACCGCTGTGATCTCTTGGAGGGCGAGGTCAGGAAACACGAAGCTTCCGTAAGTTTGACTCTTCAAACGCAAATTGATTGGGTCGATGCTTTACCGGTGACACTTTAAACGGTTTTTAGCTTGGAATAAAGATAAGATTCTCCTACGAAACGGAACCTCTTGGCACAGGTTGGTTTCCTTAACTCTTTGCTTGGCATCGCATTTATCCGTCGATCGATTTTATTTCCTCGCAATTAACTTGTAACCATCCTTTTGACACATTTAGCTGGTCCGTTAGCACTGGCGTCAAAGTGGTTAACTGATTCGAATGAGCCCTTCTTCATGCTCAACAGTGATGTCATTTGCACATTCCCATTCGAGGCACTGAAACACGTGCACGCTAAACATCGGGGTGAGGCTACAATCGCTGTAAGTCGTCCCCTTATTTCTCATAAGTCAAAGAAGGCCTTAGAATTTTATACTTGAGTCGCACTTTAAGTCAGATATATACATACACGCATGTATATATCATGCATTTGATAGCTTGTCTCGTAGGGGAACTGAAGATTATTAAATTTAAAAGAACTACCTTTATGTAGGCATTTGGCACACGTTTGTGCGTAGGCGTGTGGTATGTTGGCTGATTGTCCTACGCTTTATTGAGTGGTTGCTGTGATACTTTTCATGCTCCCTTAATCCCACACTTTCTCATGGCTAACTTTGAGTAAACTGCGTTTGATTTTGACCAATTTTCTTTCCAGTGCATTTGAGTGGTATTGTATCACCCATTTCTGTGATTCATTTCATGACTGTCTTTCGGGCTTTAAAGCAATGCTTCACTAGTTACTTTATTAGAAAATCTGTACCTTTTGTCACCATTATACGGTGATTTTCATAATATTCTCTGTGCAAGTATTCGAGAGATGTTAACGCAAAATACCTTACATTATTTAATTTTATTGTGCCTAATTATTGATTGCAGTGAATGTTAGGCATATGAAATGAGTCGTTGTTTCAGCCTTCAAACCAACCTTACCTTTGTGGTTGATAAGCTTTGTTAATTACTATCAGTAACGTAAATTTTGGTCTTTTTGTGTGGGCTGTGGAGGAGTCTATAAAATTAACTCAAGGTTGGATTTTCTAACCGATTGATTAATCAACTCTATCCTATTTTCCAGTCGAGAGACTACAGCCATATCACGTTCATACAATGTGGTGAATTAAAGGGTTATAAGACAGACTGTTGGGTGATTTCAATTTGGTTAACCAACCTTGGTTTGACTCGCGGTTTCCAGGCGGATTATCTTGGTGAAAGATCAAACTCCAAGACTGATTGTTGGCTTGAATTTTCCCACTAATCCACTATCTCTACTTTTTAGTTAACAAAAGTCGAGGAGCCTTCGAAATTCGGTGTGGTGATTTTCGAACCGGAGACGGGCCAAGTTAAGCGCTTCGTTGAGAAACCGACTGAGTTTGTGGGGAATAAAATAAATGCAGGCATCTACCTCCTCAATCCAAGTGTTATTTCACGCATTCCGGTGCGCGGGAATTTTGTAGCACGCCTTATTGCCTTGACACTTTTTCGCCTATCTTTTGTTTTTTCCTTGTTTGTGTAGCTTAAACCGACTTCGATAGAAAAGGAAGTATTCCCGATTCTGGCAGAGGAAGGGTCCTTGTATTGCATGCCCATCGAAGGTATTTATAATTGTCGCATTCGTAATGATTCACGACGTCTTTTGTCCCCTACATGTGATTTCCTTCCTACTATAAGCTATTTTCTTCACCTTACGGAAGTCCTTTCCATTTGACCTTCGAGGGTCTCGTTCCAAACCTCCGAGTTTTTCAACATATTTGAAGTCTAGTAGTTTGAACTACTGCTTCCCTCTCAGCAGTGCCCCAAGCGCTCTCCCACCCATGCTTAACTTTCCTGCAGTCTCATCAACTGTCATTCATGTTTCCATAAGTTAGTTTCTAGCCCCTCCCTTTAGTCCTCATTGCTATAGCCAAATGTGCGGTGCGCATTTGTAGTCCCACGTCCGTGCAACTACTTTTGGGCATTTTAGTCTTCTCGTGGTTAGCACCAAGAGCGTAAAAACTTTGTCTTCATTAAGCACACAAGCCTACGTAAAAGGACCTGTGCTTTTGTCCACGCTGTTCCTCTTAATTGCAATTTGCCATTAAATTCGTGATCGTCTTCACTCGTGGGCAGGAATTCTTGTGCCAAGATACGATAATGCCCGATCCGATAGATAGAAGTAGTGCAATGGTAAACTACTTCCTCTCTACCCCAACTTTTTATCTTCACTTTTCCTAACCGGAACTGTCTACATTTTCTGTAACCTTTAAATATGAATTTGAGACCTTTTTGTGTGAACCTTCTAGCCCTGAGTTTTACATCAGACATACTCAGACATATTGAAAATGAGAAATACTAGTCCATAAAACAGATTGTCACGAGTTGTAATGGCTTTTCCATACCTTCGTACAGTATTTGTCGGATCAAACAAATTCATTACCTCAACGTGGAATTCACGTTCTAGTCAAAAGCCCGTTTACTTTTTGTCGGTTTCCTACGACTGAACGGCATAAATATCTCAATAGCATATTCTTTGATCGGTCTAGTGAGTTAAAGGGATGTTTTTGAACTTTTAGAAACACCAGTAGGCCATTGCCTGTTGCCGGAATGCTAGAGCTCTTCATCGTTTACATAAGCTACTTTTGTTCTCGGTAGCATATCTCACCCTAGGTATTTGTTAATCAATTGCTCTTTCCCCTCTGCTAAGGTTTTTGGATGGATGTTGGTCAGCCAAAAGACTTCATCACCGGCACAGCTCTCTACCTGGCCTACCTTGCTGAAACTTGGCCCAAGACCTTAGCTACCGGTCCCAATATCTGCGGCAATGTCATAATTGTGAGCTCTCTTTGTGCTTCTTTTTTTAAAATTATCTTAGCAGTCCACACTTCGCTGTTGTACGCTTGAATCCGAATTGCCAGACACAACCCTAATTTACTTTGGTGGTGGCCATCACGTTTACCTTTGACGTAGTTAATCTATTACCTGGCAGGCCTTGTTTGGTGCCCATTGTTTATTTGTTTTTTTACTGTCACCTCCGGTTTACGTGATCTCACCGCTATGACGATATCTCTGGGGTGAAAGTGTATGTTGGTGGGATTTCCGCTGTAAAGGCAAGAATTCATGCTTTAGATTTGGAGCTTTAGACTGAATTGGCATACTTTGTCCATAAGCAGCGCCCGCTTGAAGGTTCATTCCTTTATTAGCGTTTAAATTTAGGTTTTATTGAGTAGGAATATCTTAGCCTATGGCGGTGTCATAACTGTCATTCTGATCTGCAGTTGCGGTTGGCAATGATGCTATTATCTGCCGTTCTCGTCATTTGAAGTTCCTTCGATTTGTTTGACTTTTTCATCAGTGTGATTCTCTACATTTAAGTGCATTCGTTTTGGTCACTAGCATTGCCGACTAAAATTTTGTTTGCCTGCTACTCTTTTTACTATGACAACCTGTGCCCAGAGGTAACCTTTGCTAAGAATGAAGTAGCCGGAATTTGGACAGACTTACTCACAGTTGTTGCGTTTGAAGCCACGTATGTACTGTTGATCAAGCTGTTTTTAAGGTTAATTGTCAGTTCTTTGAAGTTAGCATAGAGTTAGAATATAACAGAAGGTAGTTTTCCTACTTTGTACTTTATTCGGCATCAAATCTAATTTTGATGGATTCAACTGTCCCCACATGTCACCTTTTTGGTTATTGGTTGCAGCATATTTATCGCTCCCAAAATTTGAAGCTTCAGCAAGTAAAAAAGATGAGTAGATATTGAGAGATGATTTTAATCTCAAAATTGAGCAGTTGATGTTCTGCTGATTGCAAATGGAGGTGGTGAGCGTATCTGCTTTACTCTATGATTAGATTAGCAGCAGAGTTGGGTATGCCCGCTCCTTGAAATAAATCAACCTGACAAGGAGTCAAGATCTTCCCCTAGAA